GCCCTCCGCCTTCCCTCCCTCCCCCTCCGCCAGGCCCGAGGCACCGGCCCTGAAGGCAGGTGTTGAAGATCGCTCCAGCCCGTCGACTGTCTCCCACCCTCGGGCGGGCGCTCTGGTTCCTCTCTCTGGGAGCTGCCCGCTGGCCTGCTCCGGAGACTCGGGAGTTTCCCACTGCAGAGGCGGGACCCTCCAGTTTCTCAGGGCGCAGACAGGGGCCCCAAGAGGAGAAAGCACTCACCTGCCATCCCAGGGCAGATTCCAGCCGGAAGCCGGCCTCTGCCTGCCCAGGCGCTGCCCAGCAACCTTCTCCAAGGGCCTGCAAACCTCTCTCTCACTCAGCTTGACTCTGATCCTAGTTCTGAGCTGTGATGGGGCCTCCCTGAGCCCCCAGAGCCCCTGACTCTGAGAGTAGGGTTCCCTTGGGGGTAAGGGGGAGCGCTCCTGGGGGACCCTGCTCCTTGGGGAGGGTGACTCTTGGAGGACTGGGAGGGCTGCACCCCGACACCCACGGCCGGGCCCTGGGTGAGGCAGGCACAGCTCACAAATGCGCCCCTCCTTGGAAGGTTGCTGGCTTCAGGCTGGGGTGCTGGGGAGGGGAGCGACGGGCCTGCTGTGGCTGCTGCCCCAGACGGCCATGCATGGGGCCAGTGTCCTGTGTACCCCCGGCTGTGCAGGTGGGGGTGTGGCACTGCCCGCAGGGGAGACCTGGCCACACCTCTGGGAGGAAGCTGCTTGGGGTGGGGAGGGGGATGTGCGGTCAAGGTCACCTTCAGAGGCTCAGCCTCGGCCAGTGTGGGGTCCAGGTCCTCCTGGGCCTCTTGTGCTCTCCCAGGAATTCCAGCGCTTCTCTCTGGCGCTTGCTGTGGTGCATTGAATCCCTGCTCTGGCTTCAGACCCCCCTGACCTCCCGCCCACCACATTGCACCTCCCTCCAGCCAGAGAAAGTTCTCTCCCTTAAGGCTCTGGATTCTGTGACCAGCCAGAACTTCCCACCTCCCTTCTCTTCCCACAAGGCGCCACCACGCGGCCTTGAACCGAACTTACCCACAGACCCTGGGCTCATGCGGCAGGGGGCAGGGCAGGGGGCGGGGTGTCCTTGAGGGCCATTTTGC